CCAAGCCAGGGGTGCGTGTCGGCAGTCCTGATCCAGCTAACTGGGTCAGATCGGACTGGGGGCACTACGGGGGGATTGTAGTAGGGTGGTGGTCAAGCCCGGAGCCGGAGCCGCCTCCGAGGAGCAATACCCACCCAGCCCTTCCCTATTTGGGGTGTAGGCGCGGTCGGAGTCCGCGCCTTTAGGGGGGGGTACTGTCACGCTCTGGCTCCGGGACTGTGTATTTTGAGCCAGGGTGTGTTCATTTGGTTGTGTTTGGTATTGGTTGTGTTGTATTTGGTTGTGTTTCCTTGTTTGGTCGTGTGACTCCCAATCAGTGGTAACGAGTGTCAGCTGTCGGCTCGTTATCTCTGATTGGGAGCCATATTTAAACTGTCAGTGTTCACCTTAGTGTTGTGGGTTTTTGTTCCTTGTCAGTCATTGTAACTGAGGACTTCACGATTCGTCATTATTTGTTGTTTTTGTAGTGAGTACTTTAATTTAATAAAGTCATGTTCGCTCAACGCGCTGCGCTTTGGTCTCCCTCATTAGACGATCGTGACAATTTCTTGTTTGTTTCACAATAAAAAATATTATGCATCTTCAAAGTGGTAGGCATCTTGTGTAAATAAAATTATACAATCCCCCAAAAAATCAATTTTAATTCCAGGTTGTAAGGCAACAAAATAGGAAAAATGCCAAAGGGGGTGAATACTTTCGCAAGCCACTGTATGCTGAGCACTTGTTGGCTGCTTTTCCTTCACTCTGTGGTCCAACTAATCCCAAACCATCTCAATTGGGTTGAGGTTGGGTGATTGTGGAGGCCAGGTCATCTGATGCAGCACTCCATCACTCTCCATCTTGGACAAATAGCCCTTACACAGCCTGGAGGTTGTTCTGTTGAAAAACAAATGATAGTCCCATTAAGTGCAAACCAGATGGGATGGCGTATCGCTGCAGAATGCTGTGGTAGCAATGCTGGTTAAGTGTGCCTTGAATTCTAAATAAATCACTGACAGTGTCACCAGCAAAGCTACCCCACACAATCACACCTCCTCCTCCATGCTTCACGGTGAGAACCACACATGTGGAGATCATCCGTTCACCTGCTCTGCAGCTCATAAAAACACAGCGGTTGGAACCAAAAATCTCCAATTTGGACTCATCAGACCAAAGGACACATTTCCACCGATCTAATATCCATTGCTCATATTTCTTGGCCCAAGCAGGTCTCTTCTTCCTATTGGTGTCCTTTAGTAGTAGCTTCTTTGCAGCAATTCTACCATGAAGGCCTGATTCATGCAGTCTCCTCTGAACAGTTGATGTTGAGATGAGTCTGTGACTTGAACTCTGTGAAGCATTTATTTTTTGCTGAAATTTCTGAGGCTGGTAACTCTAATGACCTTATCCTCTGCAGCAGAGGTAACTCTGGGTCTTCTATTCCTGTGGCGGTCCTCATGAGAGCCAGTTTCATCATAGCGCTTGATGGTGTTTGCGACAGCACTTGAAGAAACTTTCAAAGTTCTTGAAATGTTCCAGATTGACTGACCTTCATGTCTTAAAGCAATGATGGACTGTTGTTTCTCTTTGCTTATTTGAGCAGTTTTTTCCATAATATGGACTTGGTCTTTTACCAAACTGATTGGCTCAAACGCATTAAGAAGGGAAAAAAATCCATAAATTAACTTTTAACAAGGCATACCTGTTATTTGAAATGCATTCCAGGTGACTACCTCATGAAGCTGGTTGAGGTAATGCCAAGCTGTCATCAAGGCAAAGGGTGGCTACTTTGAAGAATCTCAAATATAAAATATATTTGTTTTTTGGTTACTACATGATTCCATATGTGTTATTTCATAGTTTTGATGTCTTCACTATTATTCTACAATGTTGAAAATAGTAAAAAATAAAGAAAAACTCTTGAATGAGTAGGTGTGTCCAAACTTTTGACTGGTACTGTGCTTCCATTCATTTTTTCAACTGGTACCGGGGGACTCTTGTGAGGGTTAGGGTCAGGCGAGTCTTGTGAGGCCTGTGGGCATCCTAGAGTGTTCGTGAGAGTCTTACCTGTCCATATATTAGTGTGTAGCCCAAACTGTTTGGACGCTACAGACAGAAGTTAGCAGATCGGCATTACCAAATTCAGACGAGTCCCAAGACGCTTGTAGGAGTTGTAGAGCAAAACGAAGACACCATTATGTTAATGAGTCTAATCTTTTCATAATAGTTTGTAGGCCAAACTTTTATTACGCTAATAACATCAGGGTAACCCCTTATAACATAAGGGGTTACCCTGAGAGAAGGGGTCTGTTCTGACCTCGTTAGTACCCTGAGCAGACGTCCTGGGCCATAGCTAGTTCTGACCTCTTTAGTACCCTGAGGAGACGTCCTGGGCCATAGCTAGTTCTGACCTCTTTAGTACCCTGAGGAGACGTCCTGGGCCATAGCTAGTTCTGATCTCGTTAGTACCCTGAGCAGACGTCCTGGGCCATAGCTAGTTCTGACCTCGTTAGTAATCTGAGCAGACGTCCTGGGCCATAGCTAGTTATGACCTCGTTAGTACCCTGAGCAGACGTCCTGGGCCATAGCTAGTTCTGACCTCTTTAGTACCCTGAGCAGACGTCCTGGGCCATAGCTAGTTCTGACCTCTTTAGTACCCTGAGCAGACGTCCTGGGCCATAGCTAGTTCTGACCTCTTTAGTACCCTGAGCAGACGTCCTGGGCCATAGCTAGTTCTGACCTCTTAGTACCCTGAGAGACGTCCTGGGCCATAGCTAGTTATGACCTCTTTAGTACCCTGAGGAGACGTCCTGGGCCATAGCTAGTTCTGACCTCGTTAGTACCCTGAGCAGACGTCCTGGGCCATAGCTAGTTCTGACCTCTTTAGTACCCTGAGCAGACGTCCTGGGCCATAGATAGTTCTGACCTCTTTAGTACCCTGAGCAGACGTCCTGGGCCATAGCAGTTTCGACCTCTTAGTACCTGAGCAGACTCCTGGGCCATAGCTAGTTCTGACCTCTTTAGTACCCTGAGAGACGTCCTGGGCCATAGCTAGTTCTGACCTCTTTAGTACCCTGAGCAGACGTCCTGGGCCATAGCTAGTTCTGACCTCTTTAGTACCCTGAGCAGACGTCCTGGGCCATAGCTAGTTCTGACCTCTTTAGTACCCTGAGCAGACTTCCTGGGCCATAGCTAGTACTGACCTCGTTAGTACCCTGAGCAGACGTCCTGGGCCATACCTAGTTCTGACCTCTTTAGTACCCTGAGCAGACGTCCTGGGCCATAGCTAGTTCTGACCTCTTTAGTACCCTGAGGAGACGTCCTGGGCCATAGCTAGTTCTGACCTCGTTAGTACCCTGAGCAGACGTCCTGGGCCATAGCTAGTTCTGACCTCGTTAGTACCCTGAGCAGACGTCCTGGGCCATAGCTAGTTCTGACCTCGTTAGTACCCTGAGCAGACGTCCTGGGCCATAGCTAGTTCTGACCTCGTTAGTACCCTGAGGAGACGTCCTGGGCCATAGCTAGTTCTGACCTCGTTAGTACCCTGAGGAGACGTCCTGGGCCATAGCTAGTTATGACCTCGTTAGTACCCTGAGGAGACGTCCTGTGCCATAGCTAGTTCTGACCTCGTTAGTACCCTGAGCAGACATCCTGGGCCATAGCTAGTTCTGACCTCGTTAGTACCCTGAGGAGACGTCCTGGGCCATAGCTAGTTCTGATCTCATTAGTACCCTGAGGAGACGTCCTGGGCCATAGCTAGTTCTGACCTCGTTAGTACCCTGAGCAAACGTCCTGGGCCATAGCTAGTTCTGACCTCGTTAGTACCCTGAGGAGACGTCCTGGGCCATAGCTAGTTCTGACCTCGTTAGTACCCTGAGGAGACGTCCCTGGTCCATAGCTAGTTCTGACCTCGTTAGTACCCTGAGGAGACGTCCTGGGCCATAGATAGTTCTGACCTCTTTAGTACCCTGAGAAGACGTCCTGGGCCATACCTAGTTCTGACCTCGTTAGTACCCTGAGGAGACGTCCTGGGCCATAGCTAGTTCTGACCTCGTTAGTACCCTGAGGAGACGTCCTGGGCCATAGCTAGTTCTGACCTCGTTAGTTCTCTGAGGAGACGTCCTGGGCCATAGATAGTTCTGACCTCGTTAGTACCCTGAGGAGACGTCCTGGGCCATAGCTAGTTCTGACCTTGTTAGTACCCTGAGGAGACGTCCTGGGCCATAGCTAGTTCTGACCTCGTTAGTACCCTGAGGAGACGTCCTGGGCCATAGCTAGTTCTGACCTCGTTAGTACCCTGAGGAGACGTCCTGGGCCATAGCTAGTTCTGACCTCGTTAGTACCCTGAGGAGACGTCCTGGGCCATAGCTAGTTCTGACCTCGTTAGTACCCTGAGCACGGTGACATAGTACACACAAACGTAGATGGAGCCAAAGACCACAACATTTTATAGTTTTTTTGTTGCTTTTTGCCTTTAAAATAATGATTTTGGTGACAGATTTTTACCTCTCTTTTTATTACAAATATACAGTTGGGAAAGTATATATGCTTGTAGAAACACATGTATTCATTTATCATGCACTTTTATGAGGATAATTCTCTCCTTATCAAAGGTTTTACAAGCATCTCTGAGTGGCATAGCGGGAAACAGTCAGGAAGAATTTCTGTTAAAGTTCTCCAGACAACGAGAGTCAAAGGGGAGTAGCAGTGAGCTTCAATATACCATTATGCATCCACACTATATGTAGAATCACATTATAAAACACACGTCTATGTGCCATTTCAGTGGAAAAAATATCTAAAACTGAATACATTTTAGAAAAACTAATACTTGCTCTTTTTCGAATACAGCATGCCCTTCAATCAAAAATGTCTAAAATCTCCACTCAAGTATCATATTCCAAATCTCTGTCAAACTTCATCATTCGGGAATTACTCATCAGTCACTCATGGTGATGTCAGGGTGATGTCATTAGTCGCTTCCCGCTGAGATCATTAGGTATCGCAGCCATTATCCCTCAGAAGCCTGCGGGTCGAACCATCATGGTAGTCATGGTAGCCATGAAGCTGGGTCCTTTCCAGTAGTACCACTTGATGCCGTTGTAGCGGACCACGTTGGAGACGCCAGCGTAGTAGATACGGTTCAGGTTGGAGGGACCACACGCCTCAAACCACCAACCTAGTGGAGAGGGTAGAGATCAGGGGTCAGGAAGAGAGAGGGCAGATGGAACACACGCCTCAAACCACCAACCTAGTGGAGAGGGGAGAGGTCAAGGGGTTAGAGATCAGGGGTCAGGAAGAGAGAGGGCAGATGGACCACACGCCTCAAACCACCAACCTAGTGGAGAGGGTAGAGGTCAGGGTCAGGAGAGAGAGGGCAGATGGAACAACGCCTCAAACCACCAACCTAGTGGAGAGGTAGAGTCAGGGTCAGGAAGGAGAGGGCAGATGGAACACACGCCTCAAACCACCAACCTAGTGGAGAGGTAGAGGTCAGGGTCAGGAAGAGAGAGGGCAGATGGAACACACGCTCAAACCACCAACCTAGTGGAGGGTAGAGGGTAAGGTCAGGTAGGAAGAGAGAGGGCAGATGGACACACGCCTCAAACCACCAACCTAGTGGAGAGGGTAGAGGTCAGGTCAGGAAGAGAGGGGCAGATGGAACACACGCCTCAAACCACCAACCTAGTGGAGAGGGTAGAGTCAGGGGTTAGAGATCGGGGTCAGGAAGAGAGAGGGCAGATGGACCACACGCCTCAAACACCAACTAGTGGAGAGGGTAGAGGTCAGGGGTAGGAGAGAGAGGGCAGATGGAACACACGCCTCAAACCACCAACCTAGTGGAGAGGTAGAGGTCAGGGGTCAGGAAGAGAGGAGGGCAGATGGAACACAGCCTCAAACCACCAACCTAGTGGAGAGGGGAGAGGTCAGGGTCAGGAAGAGAGAGGGAGAGGGAACACACGCCTCAAACCACCAAACTAGTGGAGAGGGGAGAGGTCAGGGGTCAGGAAGAGAGAGGGCAGAGGGACCACACGCCTCAAACCACCAACCTAGTGGAGAGGGTAGAGGTCAGGGGTCAGGAAGAGAGAGGGCAGATGGAACACACGCCTCAAACCACCAACCTAGTGGAGAGGGTAGAGGTCAGGGGTCAGGAAGAGAGAGGGCAGATGGACCACACGCCTCAAACCACCAACCTAGTGGAGAGGGTAGAGGTCAGGGGTTAGAGATCAGGGGTCAGGAAGAGAGAGGGCAGATGGAACACACGCCTCAAACCACCAACCTAGTGGAGAGGGTAGAGGTCAGGGGTCAGGAAGAGAGAGGGCAGATGGACCACACGCCTCAAACCACCGACCTAGTGGAGAGGGGAGAGGTCAGGGGTCAGGAAGAGAGAGGGCAGATGGACCACACGCCTCAAACCACCAACCTAGTGGAGAGGGTAGAGGTCAGGGGTCAGGAAGAGAGAGGGCAGATGGAACACACGCCTCAAACCACCAACCTAGTGGAGAGGGGAGAGGTCAGGGGTCAGGAAGAGAGAGGGCAGAGGGACCACACGCCTCAAACCACCAACCTAGTGGAGAGGGTAGAGGTCAGGGGTTAGAGATCAGGGGTCAGGAAGAGAGAGGGCAGATGGAACACACGCCTCAAACCACCAAACTAGTGGAGAGAGAATGGACCAAAGAGGAAAAGGTCAAAGGTCATACTAAGCCATTTCATGTTCATGTACAACTTCACAAAAACAAATAGGGGATGGGGAACCAAAACAAAGGATGAAAAAGAAAGTCCAACCAGAAAAAAGTGAATAGATATAGATCGTATTAGGTAGGATGGTTGTGGATAAGGAAAGAGACTAGCTAGGTTTCCATCCAATAGGCGACAGATTGACATGTAAATATTCTCAAATCCGCATTAAAACATACATGCACATTTTTCCACCAGAGATGTGATTCCATCAAATTGACTTGTTGTGGATAAAAGACTGTGCGTGATGACTTAGTGCACATAAAAATACAATTTGCGGTTAAATTCCAATGAACCGAATGAAAAATGCATTGTTAAATGGGTTTCCATCACAAAATAGTTCGTTTTTTTTTTTTTTTCGGGCAAACAGCAGCCAAGCATCGATGATGATGATGTCACCAGAATAAGACCCTGGATATTTATTGGAAAGGAGCATCAAGCTCATCACTGTGTACTTTCACCACCCTGTGAAGTTCATCATAACTTATTTAATCTGTAGCCTAATAAACTGCATGGATTCCCTGAGTAGTAGTGGGAGGGACCACACAACATATCATCGTGTGACTCCAAGTTTACTTCGATATGATGGTTATTAAATCAATATTTCTGCATAAAAGCGCTTCCACCGAAATTTCTCGCATAATTCATTTTACCAACAAAAAAATATCCCACCTTGTCTAGCTTATTTAGTTTTGTCGACATTTGGAATGTTTACCGACAAATGTTCTGTTTCCATCAGGCCTGTCATTACATTTTTTTTATCCAACACGTACTTTACTAGCGTAAAACATTTGGATGGAAACCTGGTTAATGAAAAGATAGAGAGGGATTTGATGGACCAATCACAGCTCAGAGCCTGTACCTCCAGAAGCCATCTGGGAACACTTGCAGGAGCAGCGGTCGTTGTCTCGGTCCTTGGTGCTGAACTGGGTCCCGGGGTGGGTCAGACTACTGGTGCGGCCAGCAGTACCACTGAAACCCTGGGCATGGAGACTGGGAGAGGGAAAGGAACAGAACCATCAACACATATACACAGGTATTTAACTACCATACTACTGAAACTCTGGTCATTGAGACTGGGAGTTGGTGGATTTTACTGCTTGCATGTGTTACTTTACATTTACATTTAAGTCATTTAGCAGACGCTCTTATCCAGAGCGACTTACAAATTGGTGTATTTACCTTATAGCCAGTGGGACAACCACTTTACAATATATTTTATTTATTTTGGGGGGGGGGGAATGGGGTAAGGGGGGGTAGAAGGATTACTTTATCGTATCCCAGGTATTCCTTAAAGAGGTGGGGTTTCAAGTGTCTCTGGAAGGTGGTGAGGGACTACGCTGTCCTGGCGTCGTGAGGGAGCTTGTTCCACCATTGGGGTGCCAGAGCAGCGAACAGTTTTGACTGGGCTGAGCGGGAACTGTGCTTCCGCAGAGGTAGGGGGGCCAGCAGGCCAGAGGTGGATGAACGCAATGCCCTCGTTTGGGTGTAAGGACTGATCAGAGCCTGAAGGTACGGAGGTGCCGTTCCCCTCGCAGCTCCGTAGGCAAGCACCATGGTCTTGTAGCAGATGCGAGCTTCAACTAGAAGCCAGTGGAGTGTGCGGAGGAGCGGGGTGACGTGGGAGAACTTGGGAAGGTTGAACACCAGACGGGCTGCGGCATTCTGGATGAGTTGTAGGGGTTTAATGGCACAGGCAGGGAGCCCAGCCAACAGCGAGTTGCAGTAATCCAGACGGGAGATGACAAGTGCCTGGATTAGGACCTGCGCCGCTTCCTGTGTAAGGCAGGGTCGTACTCTCCGAATGTTGTAGAGCATGAACCTGCAGGAGCGGGTCACCGCCTTGATGTTAGCGGAGAACGACAGGGTGTTGTCCAGGGTCACGCCAAGGCTCTTCGCACTCTGGGAGGAGGACACAACGGAGTTGTCAACCGTGATGGCGAGATCATGGAATGGGCAGTCCTTCCCCGGAAGGAAGAGCAGCTCCGTCTTGCCGAGGTTCAACTTGAGGTGGTGACCATCATCCACACTGATATGTCTGCCAGACATGCAGAGATGCGATTCACCACCTGGTTATCAGGGGAAGGAGAAGATTAGTTGTGTGTCGTCTGCGTAGCAATGATAGAAGAGGCCATGTGAGGATATGACAGAGCCAAGTGACTTGGTGTATAGCGAGAATAGGAGAGGGCCTAGAACTGAGCCCTAGGGTACACCAGTGGTGAGAGCACGTGGTGCGGAGACAGATTCTCGCCACGCCAATTGGTAGGAGCGACCGGTCAGGTAGGACGCAATCCAGTAGTGAGCCGCGCCGGAGATGCCCAACTCGGAGAGGGTGGAGAGGAGGATCTGATGGTTCACAGTATCAAAGGCAGCAGACAGGTCTAGAAGGACAAGAGCAGAGGAGAGAGAGTTAGCTTTAGCAATGCGGAGAGCCTCCGTGACACAGAGAAGAGCAGTCTCAGTTGAATGACCAGTCTTGAAACCTGACTGGTTTGGATCAAGAAGGTAATTCTGAGAGAGATAGCAAGAGAGTTGGCTAAAGACGGCACGCTCAAGAGTTTTAGAGAGAAAAGAAAGAAGGGATACTGGTCTGTAGTTGTTGACATCAGAGGGATCGAGTGTAGGTTTTTTGAGAAGGGGTGCAACTCTCGCTCTCTTGAAGATGGACGGGACATAGCCAGTGGTCAAGGATGAGTTGATGAGCGAGGTGAGGTAAGGGAGAAGGTCTCCGGAAATGGTCTGGAGAAGAGAGGAGGGGATAGGGTCAAGCGGGCAGGTTGTTGGTCGGCCGGCCGTCACAAGTCGCAAGAATTCATCTGGAGAGAGAGGGGAGAAAGAAGTCAAAGCATAGGGTAGGGCAGTGTGAGCAGGACCAGCAGTGTCATTTGACTTAACAAACGAGGATCGGATGTCGTCAACCTTCTTTTCAAAATGGTTGATGAAGTCTCCTGATTCTGCCTCCTCAACCCTCCTCATCCTTTGTCTCTCTATGTCCCCTATCCTCCCAGCCGGCTCGGTCCTCCCGAGCTGGCAATGTAGTCATGGCTCTATGTAGTAGTGTGCGGCTCCCATAGTCTGTTCTGGACTTGGGAACTGTGAAGAGACCTCTGGTGACATGTCTTGTGGGATATGCATGGGTGTCCGAGCTGTGTGCTAGTAGTTTAAACAGACAGCACGGTCCACAGCACGGTCCATTCAATATCTCAATACCTCTCACAAATACAAGTAGTGATGTAGTCAATCTCTCCTCCACTTTGAGCCAGGAGAGATTGACATGCAAATTATTAATGTTAGCTCTCTGTGTATATCCAAGGGCCAGCCGTCCTGCCCTGTTCTGAGCCAATTGTAATTTTCCTAAATCCCTCTTTGTGGCACCTGACTACACGACTGGACAGTAGTCCAGGTGCGACCAAACTACGGCCTGTAGGACCTGCCTTGTTGATAACCTTGTTATTAAGAAGGCAGAGCCACGCTTTATTATTAACAGACTTCTCCCCATCTTAACTAATGTACCATCAATATGTTTTGACCATGACAGGTTTACAATCCAGGGTTAAATCAAGCAGTTTAGTCTCCTCAACTTGCTCAATTTCCACTTTATTCATTACAAGATTTAGTTGAGGTTTAGGGTTTAGTGAATGATTAGTCCCAAATAGGCCTCCTGTAGCTCAGTTGGTAGAGCATGGTGTTTGCAACGCCAGGGTTGTGGGTTCATTTCCCACGGGGGGCCAGTATGAAAAATGTATGCACTCACTAACTGTAAGTCCCTCTGGAAAAGAGTGTCTGCTAAATGACTAAAATGTAAATACAATGCATTTAGTTTTTTTTTAAATATTCAGAACTAATTTATTTATTTCCACCCCATTCTGAAACTGACTGCAGCTCTTTGTTAAGTGTTGTAGTTATTTCACTATTATAGCTGACGTGTATAGTGTTGAGTCACCAGCATACATAGACACACAGGCTTTATTCAGAGCCAGTGGCAGGACATTAGTAAAGATTGAGAATGTAAGGGGCCTAGAGAGCTGCCCTGGGGAATGCCTGACTATACCTGGATTATGTTAGACAGGTAACTCTTGATCCACAATATAGCAGGGGATGTAAACATACAGTAGCAGTCAAACGTTTGGACACACCTACTCATTCCAAGGTTTTTCTTTGGAATATATTCATATGGAATCATGTAGTAACCAAAAAATTGCTACACAAATCAAAATATATTTTATATTTGAGATTCTTCAAATAGCCACTCTTTGCCTTGATGACAGCTTTGCACACTCTTGGCATTCTCTCAAACATCTTCACCTGGAAGGCTTTTCCAACAGTATTGAAGGAGTTCCCACATATGCTGAGCACTTGTTGGCTTCTTTTCCTTCACTCTGCGGTCCAACTCATCCCAAACCATCTCAATTGGGTTGAGGTCGGGGGATTGTGGAGGCCAGGTCATCTGATGCAGCACTCCATCACTCTCCTTGGTCAAATAGCCCTTACACAGCCTGGAGGTGTGTTTTGGGTCATATGTCATGCAGAAAATTGCAAATTAATTACTTAAAAATCATACAATGTGATTTTCTGGATTTTTGTTTTAGATTCCGTCTCTCACAGTTGAAGTGTACCTATGATAAAAATTACAGACCACTACATGCTTTGTATGTAGGAAAACCTGCAAAATCGGCAGTGTATCAAATACTTGTTCTCCCCACTGTACATATCTTTCTAACTGTGCTCTTTCACAAAAGCTCTCAACCTATAACCTATATACTTATTATGGACACAGTGTGCTTACATTATTAGTTATCTTGTTGTTATTAGTTGTTGTTAGTTGTTATTAGTCCCATCCTTCAACTTCATTCAACACCACCCATCTATCTCTTTAACACCATCCATATTGGATATCTATTTGCATATATCTTTCAACTGTACTGTGATGTTTTACAAAAGTTCTGAACCTTTCTATTCTCCAGGTAAATATTGCAATCCTTTAGCCATTCATGGTACTGTGTCCAAAAACAAGCTACAAATGGACAGTACCCAAAACAAATTATCTAATGATTCTGTTTCTTCGCAGCAAAATCTGCAGAGCTGGGAAGATTGTATCCCCCATATAAATAGCATTCTATTGGTAGCAAGAATTTTATATAATTAATTTAAATTGAAAAATTATAAGTTTTGAATCCGGTGTCGTTTTGCATATCAGTTCATAAACACTATGCCATGGAATCGGTACGTCAAAAATCTCTTCCCAACTATTTGGTCCTTATTTATCTTTGTTTCATGGTACAGTTTCTTCTTTTTGTTCAGTTTAGTCACATGATTTCTCAATTTACAGTGCATTTGCCAATCGGCTGTGCAGCCAGAAAATGTATTTGCCATTCCTTTTGCCTCATCTCTCTCAACCATGCAATTTTCAAATTCCTCATCAAACCACAGGGATTTAACAGTTTTTACAGTCATTTTCTTAATGGGTGCATGCTTATTAGTAACTGGGATAAGCAATTTCTTAAATGTGTCAGCGTCTGGTTGCTCCTCATTACACGCCACAGACCAACAAATATTTTTTACATCTTCAAAATAGAAATCACTACAAACCTTATTGTATGACCTCTCATACACTATATTTGGCCCGGCCTTTGGAACTTTGGTTTTCCTAGATATGGCTACTATATTATGATCACTACGTCCGATGGATTTAGATACTGCTTTAGAGAAGATTTCTGCAGCATTAGTAAAGATGTGATCAATACTTGATTATGATTTAATTCCTGTGCTGTTTGTAAATACCCTGGTAGGTTGACTGATAATCTGAACCAGATTGCAGGCACTGGTTACAGTTTGACGTTTTTTCTTGAGTGGGCAGCTTGATGAAAGCCAGGCAATATTTAGGTCACCCAGAAAATATACCTCTCTGTTGATATCACATACATTATCAAGCATTTCACAGATATTATCCAGATACTGACTGTTAGCACTTGGTGGTCTATAGCAGCTTCCC